CCTCAGCCACTGAGCTACACTAGCTGGGCAGTGTGTGGGTTCTTGACCTTGTGCAGGAAAGATTTCGCAACCAGAGTCCAGGTGATTGAGAGTCCTTTATTAGAGCTGGGTTCAGGGAAACACGGAAGGGCTTAGGATGGAGGATGGAAGAAGCCACAGGAGAGCCTGGGCGGGGCTGCTGTTGCTCACTGGAAAGTCCGAGAAAATGGGGCCTGGAGACAGGTTTCAAATCTCATGGGGACCCTTAGAAAGTTAGGAGCGCACTCCTACGGGGGAAGAGAGGAAAGGGAAAGGCGAGAGCTTACTCCAGAGAGGGGAGCACCCGCTGGGTCCTTTGTTTTGAGGGTTTTTAAAGGCTGGGAATTTAAGGGCGGTCTTAGAGGAGATTTCAATAAAATATTCATCAGCTTTTCCACCTTTTAGGGTTGTGGTCTCTACTGATTGGTCAGCACCAGGGCAGGGTCATTAAGTCATTGCAGCTGGTCCTGGAGTTGCCCACCAAACATTGCTGCTTTTCTGGGCCTGGAGCTGAAATACTACGGAGGCCTACATGCTATCTCTAGGGAGGTGACCTTTTGTATCTGGCTGTAAATTGCTCGGCCAGTTCATGCAGCTATCTGCCTCAGTTTCCCTATTCTACTCGACAGCCTCTCCTTGCTGTCTGACTTTGCGGCGGGGGAGAGGACAGTCAGGTTCTTTTCTCCCCCCATGAAAATGTCTGAGCTGGAGGCAGGAGGCAGTTGCCCCAAAGGCAGATCCATAGGCAGAGAACTGCAGGTAATTTGCAAATGGCCCAGTGGGATTGGGGTATATTATAGATTCTCTCGTTACAAGTATAGATTCTCTCTCCCACATGTGCATGCACACACATACACCCACACACTTTAAAAAATATATATATTTTTTTATTGATTTCAGAGAGGAAGGGACAGGGAGAGAGACATAGAAACATCAATGATGAGAAAGAATCATTGACCAGCTGTCTCCTGCACACCCACCTCCACTGGGGACTGAGCCCGAAACCCGGGCATGTGTCCTGACCAGGAATCAAACTGTGACCTCCTGGTTCATAGGTCGACACTCAGCCACTGGGCCACATTGGCAGGACCACACACAGTTTCTTTTTGATAACATGGGTGGATTTGCTTCTTAACCCCACACATTTAATATCATTTATTAATTATTTTTTTTTATTGATGAGAAAGAGAAAGAGAGGTATCAATGTGAGAGAGAAACATTGGTCGGTTGCCTCCTGTGTGCACCCTGGCCAGTGAGTGAACCCTCAACCTAGGTATGTGCCCTGACTGGGAATCAAACCTGCAGCCTTGGGGTGTACACGACGACACTCCAGCCAACTGAGCCACACGGCCAGGGCACCACACACACATTGTAAAACACATTTGGGAACATACTCTTTTAAAAAAATTAATTTATTTTCGATTATAATTGACATACAGTATTACATTAGTTTCAGGTGTACAACATCGTTATTCAGCATTTATCTATCTTACAGAGTGATCACCACAATAAAGCTAGTAACCATCTGCCACTGTACATAGTTTATTACGATGTTATTGACTCTATTCCCTATGCGGTAACAGGAAGTTTGCACTCCTCAAGCCCCTTCCCCTTCCCCCCCTCCCTCCACCCCTCTGGTGGGAACAGGCCCTTTTGAAAGCTGAAGCTTTACCTACTGTATCTTGAACATGGTGCACACTCCTCTGCTCCTCCAGGAGCATGCCTTGGGGTAGCTGCCCCCCAGGGCATTGTCTGATGTACCACTTCGGGCTGGGTAAACTCCCATTTGGAAGGCGTTTCTGGCCATTGAATCTCTCTGAGGTCTGTGAGTTCCCTGCTTCTCTGGCTCAGCTTTTGGGAGGGGAGTTCTCCTCCCAGCCTGCTGGAGCACCGGCTCCTTGTAGGGATGAGGCAGCAGGCCCAGAGCAGTGGAGAGGCTCAGCCCAGGGCACAGCCGGTGAGCCGCAGTGTGGGGACCAGAGCCAGGCCTCTGCTTCATGGCTGGGTGCAGAGGATCCCAGCTGGGACCCTCTGCTTCAGCTGGGATCCTCTGGGATCCTCCCTCACCCAGCTCTTCCAGCTGTGAGCAGGCTTTTCACACAACAAATATTTGGCCAGCAACACTTTCCCCCTCATTTAAGGGAATTTCTTCAACAAATCTTTATTTAGCAGCTATCATGTGCTAGGCATTGGGGGATGGAGCAGTGAACAGGGTCAATATGGATGGCAAAGGAGAAGTTAATCACGGACAGGTAAGAACTGTGGCTCAATAAGGCCGAGGGGATTGGGTATTTAAAGTGTCACCGGCAAAGGTGTCTTGGGTGGGGCTGAGCTGAGCCTTGAGGGGAGATAACGGGCAGTTACCAGGAAGAGAACAGCATGTACAGTGCCTTTGGGAACCACACAGACGCATGTGTTAGCCCCTTCCTATCTGGGGCCAGGCTTCCTCCCAGTGGTTTTTTGTGTTTTTTTCCTGTGCATTTTTTCTTTACCTCGTTGAGATAACACTATTTGGGTAATTAGTTGAAAAAAGTAAGATATCAAAAACGTTTCCCTCCTGTTGTTAAACATGTGTTCTGAGCTTGATTTTTTAAAATAAGTCATTGATAGTCCATCTAGAGGTTGTGCCATGGTTTCCTCACTATTTCCCTAGAGTTGGACATTTTGGCTCTTTCCAAATTAGGATCATTATAAATAAGGCCACAGTGGACATTTTTGTGCACAATTTTGCTTCAGATCATGAATTTTACCTCCAGACGTCTCAGCGCCCTCCTTCGCGCTCGCTCCTTTCCTGTCCTGCAGTGCGTGTCTTCCTCTGTCAGGAGGAGGCGACACTGTCGACCTCTGGGGATTGTGACTGGGTGAAGTGAGGCATGTGTAGCCAGCCAGCCCGGTCCTGGCAGGCCTGATGGAGCCCAGGGGTATTCCTCTTCTCCCTCCCAGCCTGTGGAGTCTCATACCCACTGGGCAGATGAGGCCTCTGAGGCCTGGAGGGGCCCGGAGCAAACATCACCACGCTTACTGAATTCCTGCTCGATCCCAGGCGTGGTGCTAGCAACTTCAGACACATTAACTGTGACCTTCAGAACAGCCCCGCAAAGTTAGGAGCATCATCTCCATTACCCGGATGAGGACGCTGAGGCACAGAGAACCCAGATGACCTCTCCAAGATGGCCCAGTGACCCCAGGTGGAGGAGAACTAAAACCCAGGTTCCCAGCACTTGGCAGGCTGCTTACATGCCCATTTCTTCTCCTCTTTCTTTCTGTGTGTCCAGAACTGTGACAGGGGCCGAGTGGCCTCCACCCTCCGCTACTGCGTGTCGGTCAGCGGCACAGTGTTTCTGATCGCCGGGACGCTCTGCTTCGCGTGGTGGAGTGAAGGGGATAAGGGCGTTCAACCCAGCCAGCCGGCCCCACCCACTGGGGACCCTGCACCTGAGGCCCCCAGGTCCCTGCTCAGGTCCATCAGCTTCATCTGCTTTGGGGCAGGCAGCTTGCTGCTGCTCCTTGGCCTGCTGTGGTCCATCAAGGCCAGTGCCTGGGGGTCACGCAGAAGTGACCCATATCACCTCTCCAGAGACCTGTACTACCTCACTGTGGAGCCGTTGGAGAAGGAGAGCTGCAGGTTAGTGGGGAATGGGGGGGGGGGGCAAAGGCTGGGGCCATAGGTGGGGCACCATTCCGTCACATGCATTTGCTCAGCAAACTCTCATGGGGTTCTTCCTCAGGACCAGGCTTTGTCTATGCCTTGGGGACTTGATGGCTGATCAGCACAGCCGTGGAGGAGTTTAAAGCCCCATGACAAAGGTAGAGTGGCTCCCCACGGAGTAGTTAGAGCTGTGAGAGAGGCATAGATGCAGTCCTGTGGAGATATGGGGAAATCCAGGAAGGCTTCCTGGAAGAGTAGAAAGCTGAGCTCAGCATGGTATGGGGCAGAGTAGCACAGTGGTTAAGAGCCCAGGCGCAGGCGTCAGACTGACTGGGACCCTCTCCTGGTTCTACTAACTCAGTGGTCGGCAAACTGCGGCCCCTTGAGTGTGGCTCTTCCACAAAATACCATGTGCAGGCGCGCACGTACAGTGCAACTGAAACTTCGTGGCCACACTCAAGGGGCCAAAGAGCCGCATGTGGCTTGCGAGCCGCAGTTTGCCGACCACTGTACTAACTAGCAGTAGGACTTCAAGTAGATGATTCAACCCCACTGAGCCTCAGCCTCATCTGAAATAAAACAGGAATAATAACAGCAGCAATAATAGCAAACACTTGTATAGTATTGACCATGGACCAGACACTGTTCTATGTGCTTGTCATATATTTACTCTTTTAATCCTTATAGCAGTCCTCTGAAGTAGGTACAGTTATTTACTCCATTTATAGATGGGAAATGGGGGCACCACGATGTTACTAGTAAGTAACTTGCCCAAGGACACCCAGGTAGTGTCTGTCAGGGCCAGGACTTGGACCCAGAGTCTGTGCTGTTACCCATTCCCTAGCTCAGGGGACACAGGGAGAATTAAATGAGATGATGTGTACATAGAACTTAGCCCAGTGCCTGGCGTACAGTAGGTGCACAGTAAATGTCAACTTTTCCTCAAGAGGCTAAGGTGGCGAGAGGCAGGTTAGGCAGGCAGAAGAGCATGTACATCGGCTCAGGGGAGGGTGGGGGGTGGGGCAGAGACAAAAATCTTGCAATAGAAAACATTTCTCAAGCTTCATTTTCATTTTTACTCCCTCTTAGGAGGCTCTTGAGGCATTCTTTTCTCAATCCTCCCCTGTGAAGTTTAAATACCACAGTTACATTATATACTAGAGGGCCGATGCACGAATTCGTGCATGGGTGAGGTCACTCAGCCTGGCTGGTGATTGAGGCCTATCAGGGGGGCCGTCTGGCAGGGGGGAGGGACCATGGGAGGTTGGCAGTCAGGGGAGGCGGGGAGAGCGAGAGGTTGGCTGTGGGAGCGCACTGACCACCAAGGGGCAGCTCCTGTGTTGAGCGTCTGCTCCCTGGTGGTCAGTGCGTGTCATAGCGACTGGTCAACCGGTCATTCCAGTTGTTAAGTCGCTTAGGCTTTTATACATATAGATGTGTTTATGTTCTGTATGTATATCTGTGCTTAATATCACCAATACCAAGAGCCAATGTTTGCCTGGTTGAGTAAGTGAATTATGACTGCACTTAGTATGTATTTATTCATTTGACCAAGTATTGGATGTACCTACATGTCAGGGGCCTGCGTACATCTTCTCCAGCCCTCTTTCCCCTGCAAAGTAAGAACTGGTGCCCTGTCCGGCCGACATGGCTCAGTGGTTGAGCATCGACCTATGAATCAGAAGGTCATGTTTGATTCCCGGTCAGGGCATATCCCCGGGTTGCGGGCCCAATCCCCAGTGTGAGGCGTGCAGGAGGTAGCTGGTCAATGATCCTCTCTCATCATTGATGTTTCCATTTCTCTCGTTTCCTCTCCCTTCCTCTCTGAAATCAATACAAATATATTTAAAAAGGAATGCATGCTGAGTTAAGGAATGTAACAGATTATTTCCACTACTGGCTTGTGAATCCTTGAGGTCAGAGACAATGGAGTATTCAACAGAGGCCACTTAGTCCAATGGCTGGGCCTTGGTTTGACCTGACTGTTAGACGGGCAGGGCCTCGGGAGCTCTCCAGCCAAACTCTTCACTTTTTGGATGGGAACCCGGTTGCAGAGAGACCGGTGACTGGTCACACCACAAGTTAGTGGTCAGCTGGAACCAGGCCAGGCCTCAAGGCCCTCCCTCCCCAGGGTGGCCTGAGTGTAGGGGTGGATGTTGTCTGTACACACAGCCATGTTGGCCCAACAGGGCCTGGGCCACAGCTGCAGGTGCGGCCACCCGGCCTTCACTCCCAGCCGGGCCAGGGAGGAGGCCCTCCCAGGAGGCCGCAGAGTGCTCGAGGTTGGAGACCCGTCTTAGATTCAGAACTGGGTGGCTGGAGGTCGGGGAGGCTGCTGGTATTCATGCCCTGCTGCCTGGGAGGCCAGCATCTGGCCCCCAGCGGGAGGTCACTCTACGGCTCCTGTCCCAGGCACCTCACTCTCTGAAGATAAACCCAGGTCAGAGAGGCCTTCTGGGCTGATGGCTTAGCTGGGTTTTTCCCTCTCTTGGACCTCATTCTCCATTTATTTTTCTTGTTATTTCACACATTTAACAATATTTACCGAGTATTGTGTGGTGGGTCCTATGCAGGGCACTGACAACGCCACACGCGACAAAACAGATAAAACCCCTGCCCTCTGGGGGCGCCCATCTTACGTGTTAGCCCCTAACGAGGGTGGCTAGATAGGATGCACCCCAGGGCCACCCCCCTCAGTGAGCACAGCAGAGAACCCTTGGTCCTATTCAGACAGGAGGGTTGCAGTCTCTGCCCTTTTCTTTGACAAGCTGTGTGTCCTTGGGCATGTTACTTAGACTCTCTGAGCTGTGTCTAATTCCTCATCTGTCAGCTGCGGGCAACAGACCTTTTCCCTAGGAGTGTGGTAGGTTCAGAGGAGATGACAAGAGGGGAAGTGTGTACACTTTCAAGTTCGTGCACACATTACCTTTTGCTGCCATTAGGATGCTTTATAGTTTACCATGGATGCTGTGCCCACTAACTGATTTGAGCCTTAATTGCTCATAAGTGGAGCAGCTTATGAGGTAAGTGTAAGAATTAGGCCCATTTTACAGATGAGAAAGCTGAGGTTTGGAGAGATTGGGTGCTGGGTGGGGAGAGGTGTGATAGATGGAGTTGGCTGAGTTTTGCAGCCAGACAGAGCTGGGGCTTAGCTGCCCGGTTGATGTGTGACTTTCACTTATCTGTGCAATGGCTGAGAGATGTTACCACCCAGGGTTGTCATGAATGTGAAATAGATTAGAGGGCTTAACTGCCCGGCAGGTAGTACCGTATTTGCCGGCGTATAAGACGATTTTTTGGCCCTGAAAAATATGCCTCCAAGTGGGGGGTCGTCTTATACGCCAGGTACACTTCAGATAGACTGCCCATAGTGCTTGCCCCGTGCCATAGTGGCCTCCCGATGCCCGCCCACTTCATTCCACATACCGTTCAGGCATCAGCAGCGCTGCTGGGTGTATGCTCGGCTGTTATGCGATTTT